ATCCTTATCATTATCATTGATGTTGTTGTTGCTGTTGTTATATCATCATTTTTTTTATTGGTTATATTACTAGTATTATCATGAATTCATTTATATTATTGTTCTTGTTCTTTTTATGTTTATTATTTTGTTTTTATTTTATGTTATCATTTATATGTATTGCTTATATACAACTATTTACACTATTTTTATGTTATTATTTATTTATTGTTTTATTCTTATCGTTATAATCATTATTTATCATATATTGTTATCATCACCGTTTCCGTTTTCTTATTTTTATTGTTTCATTCTTATTATTTTCTTATATTAATATTACCAATATTGTTATCATCACTGTTGTTATTGTTTTTATGTTATTATTTTCATCATCATCATTATTATCATCATTATCATAATGATTATCATTGGTTTTAGGAACATTCCTATCATCAATGCTTCTATTGTATTGATGTAAAATAATGCTAACAGTTATCCTCAGGACATTAAAAAACATGATGACTGCCAACCTAACAACCATCCCAAGCCTCCTCCTCAGGCTCGAATCGTGAAACATTTCGCCAAATTTCGCGCTTGAGCCATTTTCGCGAGGTCCCGGACGCAAGACCTCGCTCGTGGGCTGCCTCCGCCCGCGTCGCCTCCCCGTGTGAAGGAGGGCGCTGCAAATAAGCTGCAACGGGGGCGCGCTCTTCGTTTTACGAGGTTCGTTATTCAGTGTCGTAGGACCGGCTGATACCAATATTGCAGAGGTTTGGTATTTGGCTTCTCCCTTGGTATGTTGTGGGGAAACGGCGCGAGAGAACTTTATTAGGTCAAGCCAGAGGCCGTGGCTGTGATATTGTTTTTGCTCTCTCTTTTTCGTTTTGTTTTTTCTGTATTCATAGAGATGGGTCGATAGATGAGTGGATGCAAGGATATGCGTGTTTGTATAATGCCTGTTCGTGAGCATTTGGTTTAACACCGTAGTGTTGTAGGTATAAATACAAGGTGCACCAGTTGTGTTCATTGTAAATACCGACAGAGATACACACATGAAATGGACGTTCCAATAGATATGCAAATATTTCGTTCTACTGCGTTTTTAGGTGTAGTTGCAAAAAAAAAAAATCACTATACTTGAATTACCAGACATTACTGTATGTACGTGTTTAAATGTGTAACTGGTACACCAAACGAAACCTTAAATATTAAACCATTTATGTTTACATTCACTACCCATTCATTTCTGTTTTCATTCCAGTTGTACTTTTTTTTCTCTCAAATTCGCTAACTTTGTCTGCAGAATGTGTTTTTTAATTCGCATGATAGTTTATTCTGTCCATAGAACGCGCGCGTCCTATAGACCAGCGCTCGTACGTTCCATTCCAATCTGTTCCGCGTAAGTACTGGACTGTATATGCTAATGCGTTAGCGCGACAGATGCACTTTGCCGCGGGGAATATTTTGGGTCGAAAAAAACTACATTCTACTGATTCTCGAGTTATTTTTTTTTTTTTTCTACTCAGTCAACTGCTGTCTAGAGTAAGATGATGCTATTGCAGTTAGACTGATAGATAGACAGATGGAGAGAGAGAGAGTGAGAAACAGAGAGAGAGAGAGAGAGAGACAGAGAGAGAGAGAGAGAGAGAGAGAGAGAGAGAGAGAGAGAGAGAGAGAGAGAGAGAGAGAGAGAGAGAGAGAGAGAGAGAGAGAGAGAGAGAGAGAGAGAGAGAGAGAGAGAGAGAGAGAGAGAGAGAGAGGAGAGAGAGAGAGAGAGAGGAGAGAGAGAGAGAGAGAGAGAGAGAGAGAACCAAAAACAGACAGTGAGGCGAAGGCATAATCCGAGACAGACACCAAGAAGCCAGCGAGCCCGGCGTCCCCGTCCTGAGCACCCAAGCCAAACGCACTGAGCACAAGTTCACAAAACCTCTCATTGAAGCCGTCGAGTACCCGCAACGTTGTCAGCGAAATCGCTTTCACAGATGTTGAGAAATCGCACCTTTAGGTTGGCAAGGAAATCCCCTCTTCATCCCGAGCCTCTTTTCACAGCTCGCTCAAAAGAAGGCGTCTGAAACTTTGTCGCGGTGAACATGTGAAATGAGGCAAGCTTGTGCAAATATTTACAGGAGCTTTGGAAACACACGATACTGTATCGTGTGAAAAGCAGTGTTAAAAGAGCTTTTTATCTGAGAGCATTTTCGCAAAACAGTTAATTTCACCACAGATTTGATAATGAATTTTAAATAAGTTTAATCGTGGTGCCTTTGTGTCAGTAGAGGGAAGATTCTGTAATCATTTTGATTATAATCTGAAATAAAGAACGCGTTATTATCTCATCTTATACGATTACCATATGAACAACGTTTTGCTATATAAATACAAATTCAAGCAGCATAATATCATATCTAAATATAGCTGTTACATTTTCATACGTACCATTTTATTTATTCTTTCAGCAACATGAACAAAGACTAACTAGTCACATCTCAAGCTTCCATTTTGATTCTATTTATAAATCCCCTTTATTAAACCTTGATGAAAAGTCAGATTAATCCCACCGCAGTGATTCTCCTTTAATTGGGACCCGCGTTTAAATGAAGACCTCACTGCTCTCCCTTCTCGTCTATTTCTGTCACATGTCTAATGGTAGTAATTGCTGGAAAACGTACTTACAGATATGCTAGCATTATCATTATCATCATCAATATTTCCCTCCGCATCCTTCTCATTATCATCTTCATCATCATCATCATCATCATCAACACCATCATCATTGTCATCCTCACCATCATTATCATCATTGTCATCATCATCATTATCATCATCATCATCATCAGTAGAAGCAGCAGCAACAATCATTATCATCATAATTATCGCAAATATCTATCCTAATTTCTGATAGGGATTCGAATCTCTGCCATTTCAGTTAGCATTACCATACCATCATTATAACGATTATTACTGTTATTTAATTTCTTATTGATATTATTCATAATCATTTTGCTATTATCATACCGTCACCACTACTACTATTTCTGATATCATAATAATTGTAGATAATAGTATCATTGTTATTACTGCCATGATAACTGTTGATGCTCTCTGGCACACGTTCAACAATGGCGAGGAACCGCTGGGCTGACTCCAGAGGCAGCTCATGGTATCAAGGGTTTGTCTGCTCTGTTCTCTGCTTCTGCTTACTTAAGATATGTGGTAACAGTCTCCTAGCGAACGCCACAGAACACTGCGAATTTACTTACCATGAAAAGCAACCCTCTTTGGAAAGCAACGAGGCATCTTCCAGGAGACCTGTAATGAAGAACCTGGCAGTTTTCCAAGGATGTTCTCACCTGTCCATTATTAAGGTCACTGGGATCCCCTCGCGGTTGCCGTGGCTTGCCGATGAATTACAAACGGACATCTGCATATTCATTATCATTATTATTATCATATTCATTTTCATTATCATCATCATATTCATTTTCATATTTAGTATCATCATATTCATTATCATTATTATTTATTAATCATATTCATTTCATTATTATTATCATCATATTCATTTATCATTTTTATTATTCATCATATTCATTATCATTATTATTATCATCATATTCATTCATATTATCATCATATTCATTATCATTATTATTATCATCATATTCATTTTCATTTTTATTATCATCATATTCATTATCATTATTATTATCATCATATTCATTATTATCATCAATTCATTATTATCATCATATTCATTATCATTATTATCATCACATATTCATTATCATTATTATCATCATCATATTCATTATCATTATTATTAGCATCATATTCATTATCATTATTATTAGCATCAATGTTACTATCATCATAATCACCATTATTACCTTCATCATCATCACCACCACCATCAGCACTATAGTT